TTTATTTTAAATACCCGCAGGTGCAACATTACATCCGTACACAGCAAGGTGTCCGAGTATCGCCTGACCTCTCTCTTCCTCTAGATGACATGATAAAACACAAACTTCGCCTCTTATGTTTATGAAAAGCTATGTGAATCTGTAGAAGGTGCAGCCTCTACTGTTACATTTAAGAGGAAAAGGGACTTTTGGAGCGCATAACTGAAGATGAAGTGTGAGGGAGAATTTGGGAAAATGCACAAATCTTCTCCTTCCATAGCTGCCATAAGTTAAATTAGTTTAATGTCATTCATCGGATATACTTCACTCCTGAAAGGTCATATCAAATGAACAATAATTGCTCAATGTATTGTCCCAGATGTAAAGTGGGGACTGGAACATTGTTACATATGCCGTGGTCTTGCCTTGACCTGGAGCGATACTGGAAGGCAGTTTTAGGCGTTATTTTAGAGGTCACCAAAGTGAATACACTGCCATTACCAAGTCTTACCTTGCTAGGAGATGAATCTGTGTTATAAGAAAAGAGGGGTAAACCTTAGATTTATTAAGATAGCACTCCCTGCTGCCAAAAATGTATTACCATTAAGTGGAAACCCCCTAGCCTTTCTATGTGGATAAAAGAAGTCTTTTCCTACATCCCTCTGGAGAAAATACTATTTAATTTAAAGACAAAAAACCATCTGGTTGAGAAATACTGGGGAGATTTTCCTGTATACTTAAAATCCAGAACAACAAGCCTGTGTGTTATTTGACATCCTCAATTAGGTAACTGTATTGGATTGTATTTATTGCTCTAAGTGATTCATTTACTTGTACACTAAATCTACTTTTTATAAATGTATTTATTTATTTTCTTATTTATTTCTTTTCTGTAAGCACTGCTGGGGTATGACTCAGGGATGGGGGGGTGGATCGTTGTGGGTGATGCAGTTAGAGTTTGAATCATTCTGATGCACCTATGTTACGCAACTTTGATATAATGGTTAAAAAAAAAACAAAAAAAAAAAACAATAAACCTGACATGTTTCGTTCAGTGAAAATAAACCAACACACCCTCTACAAAGAACACACATTTGCACATTTTAGTGCACCATCACTGGTATTTTGCTAAATTTAACATAATATGGAAAACTACTGGCCTGTGAAAGTGGTACATTTTGTATTTTATGGTTTACTTTTTTCACCAAACGTCAAACTCAGCAGATAAACAGAATGTGTGCACTAAAATTTGTAGAAAAAAAGGAAAAAATATAAAAAAAAATAACTTTGTTCTCTGCAGAGGATGTGTTGACTTATTTTCACTTAGAAAAATCACTGAAACATGTAACTTTGTGTATATGACTGTAATTTAAAATTAAAAGCACAATTGAAATGTACAAATTTTGACAAAAACTTGAGTTGTGCACTAAAGTTTCTCATTAGACCGAATGGGATTTTTGCCAGCATTACATGAAACTTGTCCAACCCGGCAACAGTCACAGCAAAAAAACACATTTGTGGGCAGAGCATGTACACATCAGTCAAAATCAAACAAATAAAAATGCTTTCCCCCAACACAGTCCAGCAACAAAAAGGGGCTGCCGCCAGCTTTATCCTGAGCACTGCCTCCTGCCTGGAACTACTGTGTTCCACAAGTCCCCACTGAACTGGAAGCTCATTTTCAAAACCAACATATGAGCAACAGATGTCTACCATAACCAGAGGGCAAAGGGTGACAGCAAAGTGGGAGGAACAGGGAGAAATGAGGAGAAACAAAATGAGATAAGTAAAAAAGATGGCAAGAGAAAGAGTGAGAAGCCACCAATCCACCCTGCCCTGAGGCCAGTGCCACTGGCTGTAATGTTAATGTTGGCATCTTGTCAGGCTGCCCCCGATTCCTGGGCTTTGTGGGTTTTTTCCCCCCCCAACATGGTGGTGATAGCAGAGGGGCTCCGGAAATTCGGAGACTGCTGAGCCAAAACAGATCACTTCAAAGCGCCTTATTTAACGCTCACTAAATTTTTCATCACAGTCGCTTAATATCCTGGGGAAGGGGAGCTTTTGAAGTCGCAGCGAGACCGGCATGTTCTTCTGACAACTTTTCCTTTTTTTCACTCCTCCTTTTTTACCTCCTCCCTCGGCTTCTGCATCCCTGGCTCTTTCAACAGGAGGCCAGTGATATTTGGGGCACACAGAGCAACCCCAGCGGGCAGGGCAAAGCCTGGAAGTCCGCACAACACAGCCCTGCAGCATAACCACACACTATAGCCACGCAGTATGGTCATCACCACACTGGAGTAAACACAGCTGAACCTGCCACAGGCAGAAACACATTATCTACAGCACATTATTAACAACAAGATTAATCTGAGTCTCTTAAAGAACTCTGTATGTGTGAAAATTCAAGGGATATACAGATAAAACAATCAATTTTACCCTAAAAAAACCATCCAAAATAATGTAGATTAGATTATTAGGGGCACAAATCTGGCCTCACAGACCCAACTTCAATACGACTTTTTAGAAAACAATTCAGTGCATCCTGAAATCTTAAATTTCACCACAATTCAATTTGATTATTTTTTGGAATGCAGAGACACTGAATATTTTACACTTGCATTGCAGTTGAGGTCAATGCAGATAGACTGAGATTGGATCAACTAGATGCTTTAGCATTTCAAAGAAACCTTTAATTCTGTAGGGTTACAAGAGCATCAGTGCGCCCATAATCCTACAGTTTTATTTTTTGTCCTTAGAGGTTCACTTTTTGCGATGTATGTAGCAAAAACGGTCACAATTTTTCAACCTCGCTTCATCGTTTTCAATTAAACAGGCTTTTCTATCATTGTGCCTTTAAGACTGACATATGTACATCAGCTCTGTTCTGATTGGCTGGCATGTGCAGTGTCAGTCAAGAAGCAAGCCAGGCCTTCATATAACTTCAGTGTGAATGGGTGGGGCTAAACTGCTGTAGGCTGAATGGGTGACAACACAAAAACAATGAACTCAGAATTTGCTGTTTTTGCAGCTTAGTTTCCGTATATTGACTCCATGGACTAAAGAGAGAACAGTACAAACAAAAAGTGAGGAAAATTTAGTCGCTATAAAAAGGGCACACTTTGCATAACGTGACATCTGCTAGAGTTTCAACATTGCGTTGATTCAATGCTAACACACAGCTCACGGCTTTTTATACAAAAAGCCTTAAGCCTTATACAAAAACTTTAAGCCTGCCTTATTTGAATACTCAAATAGATTATATAAAAAAAATAAATAAAAAAAAAGCACTGCGATGAGTTGAGTTTATCCAATGCCACTACATTTTTCTAAATATTTATCTGTTGATAGTGATGATTCCAATATCTTTGTGCATCATGAATTATGTTGGTAAGATTCATTTTTACACAGCATACATAAATGAACTATTTACACAGTAATGGAATACGGACAATAAAACACAATAGATCAATAATCCATTTTTATGTTGTGTTTTATATTCCACTTTTATGTTTGAAAATAGCCCAAGAATTTTAGTTTATTCAAAAGAGTGTATGCATTATCAAATAATATCAGTCAATTTTAACGTTCCACAACTAGTGCAGCTGAATCGACACCTTCAGATTGAAGCATGATGATACACTGATACATTTTTCCACCCCTAATTATTTAGAGATATTCAAACAACAGATGTATGGTATGTCAAAGATTTTCACAGACGTAAAAACTGCAAAGAGGAAATACATGGGGAGAGAGAGAGAGAGAGAGAGAGAGAGAAGGAGATGAACTACAGTGATCGAGCTGGTGAGTTGGGTGGGGATGCCAATAGCCCCCGGAGGCGAGCTTCATTCAGGCTTGAACGGGACTGGTGTTGGGTTTGACTGACAGCCCAGAGCGGAGCGCAGGTCCAAACCTGCTACGGCTCAGACGGACGGGGCCGCCTGCCACTGAGGAGTGAGGGCCGCCCATCCGGCGAGGTGAGTCAGAACCTGTTAGCATGAGTGCTGTCCCCAGCCTGACACCCCGGCACACCCGCCCAGAGCCTGCCTCCGACTCCCTCCAACCCTGCCACCAGTCCCCTTCCTCTCATCCACATCAAATCCTTTCAGACACAGATTTCAATTATTCACCTCATCCAAATAATGCCTTGTGACATGAATTATCCAGCACTGTAATAATCCACTTAACTGGGAAAGAGCAGCTCATCAAAAAGAGAAAAGGAGGGGGAAAAAGCGACTTGTCGACCGGTTAGGAGACCAAGGAGCCTTAATAATCCACATTTTTTCCGCTTTTGAGGAGAGCGCTTTGAGTTTGGTTTGCTATCATATATGCCGTGAAATCACATTAAACAAAAAGGAACAATTCAGAAACTAATCATCCAGAGGTTACAAACATGCCACAGGCAAGTATGTCAGTGACAATGAAAACACAGGGACGACGAGCTCGATTCTAGGCTTTACAATTACGCACAAAACAGTAAATAGGCTTAAGCATACTAATGTCTGAGGCCAGGCAAGAATAGTGGAAATGACTAGAAAAGGCTCATTAAGAAAAAAATGAAATAATAAGATCCCATTACCATTTTGTCAAGTTTTGAATGTATATAAACATTATACCAATGCGGTTTTACTTGCCATGTTAAAACAGATATAAGATAAAAACCCTGACTGCTTATTACATGTTACAAAACATCAATGTGACAACATTTTAATATAGTGGCCTCCTGTTTGCCTTTGTAGGAACATACTGTTTACTTAATGACAGTCTGGGGTTTTCTGCAGCAACTGGTATGCTCACCTGAATAATACTGTTAAGAAGCTGAGCTGTAAACAAAGAGGACCAAAACATCTCAAACTATCAACTATCGTAACTTGCAGACTTTGTGTACATTTTGCACTGTATGTAAAGTGTAATCTGTTTGTGTGATCACTGAGAACTGTAAGTGACCAATCACATATTTCATGGGAGTGTTTTATGTTTTTTGAAGGATTTAGTTGGAGTAGATTTCCAGAATAACGCCTTACCAGAGTTTCCCGCGGTGGAGCATCTCTGACAGGAGATCCACTCTGCAAAGAAAACAGTAGACTTGCATTACAACTCCACCTAGAGGCGTTCAGTACGCAACACACTCAGCTCTCTTCTTTCATAATACTGATTTTCAGCAGCTAAACATTCTGCTAACCATTCATATTGGCTGAGATAATTTTATTTCTAACACTTATTCTTATTCTATTTCTTAGACTAATTTTATATCTATAATTTAGTGGAACAGAGCTTTACAGACTGGAAGATCATAATCACAGGAAGATCATAAGTTTGATCTTGGCAACCAAATCCACAAGAACTCAGGATACACTGATTTCCATACCTGAACAAACACACACACACACACACACACACACACACACACACACACACACACACATATATAATATATAATATATATATATATATATATATATATATATATATATATATATATATATATATATACACACACACACACGCATACATACGTACATAAGATAACAATCTTTTTTTAGTCCCACAACAGGGAACTCAATAGCAAGGACTCAAGAAAAGGAAAAGAAGTAAAAAGAACAGAATTAACAAGCAAGTAATTAACTTTGCTAATTACTTAACAAGGTTTTTACAGTACAAGAGTTCATTCCAAAACATGCTATATCTCTTTCAGGAAATGTTTTGTTAGGGGGCTTTTATTTTGACATGTTGCAGGGCTGTGTAGAGAAACACAGGGTACATTCATTTTTGGAAAGAAACACTCGGTATCTGCTTCAACAAGTAAGTTTACCTGTAATGTGATCAATTATCACTTTAACCTGTGTGGAGTGTTTTCTACTAATAAAAAGCCAAAGTGAGACTTTGATGTATGTGGTGTTTTAGAACTACATGCTTCTATTTTATTAAAAACAGTATCAATCATGGATCAGTCACATCTGGCGAATACGTTCAATAAGGTCAGTATTGATCCTGATACCGTTCCAGTGTTTCGCATCAGTCCAATTATTATGAAAGAAAGGCACATTTTCAGCAATACTTGTATCAAACCGACAGAGCGGGTTGTTATCTCCGACAATTTTACTGGTCAACAGATACATCGGTCAGGCTCTGATTCAGTGCCTTTATTGCCAGCTTTTATAGAATTTCACTTTCCTCAGACCTTTCCAACATCGTTAGAGATGATCAAAAAAAGGAGAGGCTGGCTGCGAAAGATCAGCCGCCTATTCAAAACTGGACACAGGATGTAGTGAGCTACCACACTACTGTTATTGGGTTAACAACAAAATGGAACAACGATAATTTGTTCATTGTTTCCGTTGTGAGTGATCCATGTCTGTTCAAAGGGCTTAATCAGGTAATAAAATCCCAGCCACTGCCAAAAAACAGTACAGCAGACATCCAAATAACATCTCAGGACAGTAAATCTCAGGTGAACTGATTAGGCTTTTCCTAATGCCCCCTCGTCATGTTGCTGTCTTCTCTGCTCATAACACACTCCGTGCTTTGCAGGCCTCCAGCCTTAGCCTGCATTCAGATATCATGACACACTGCGTCCGTTATAGGCCATTCATGTTACTCACTCTCTGTCCTTGATGGTCACTGTCAGCAAGTTGTCCTTAGAAATTGTGCTTTTTACTCTAATATCACAAGGGCATGATTATTATACATTATTCACTGTTTATTCTGTGCCACTTTAGAATAAGACAACCTTTATAAAGCGTTTATGAATGGTTTAAATTTTTTAATGGTTGTTACATCATAAACACCTTAAAAGTCATTAATAAGCTGTTATACCACATTAATAAAAAGTTAGCTGTTATATCTGATGAATACGAATATGTATTGAAGCTGACTGGTTTAATGCTGACTGATGACGTCTCTACTGCCCTTTTTATCTGTCTGTTTTAATTGCTTATTAATGATTTTAAGCTATTTGTTGACCTAATTATTTACTGACCTAATTAATAACCATTAATAAACTCATTTTGAACCATGATGTTCATAAATACTTCATAAGAATATTTTTATTTTAAAGTGGTACCGTTTATTGTACTGTTTATATGGTTATGTATTATTATTATTACTACTACATGATATGGGTACGCTCATGGACTGAAAAAGTGATGGACTTAATAAACATGCACATAATTAACACATCAATAAAATATCTTACAACTAGGGATGTAAACTTGTTTTGACCAATAACTGACTGTTATTAGTTGGTGATTAATTGTTAGCAGATAAGCCTAAAATCCCAGATCCGACCCATTAAAACATCAAACAGCACTGAGTTTTACATAAACAAGGCTTTAGGCTTTACTGAACAAAAAAACATAACATTCAGCTTAACTTAACAGATACGACAGCAATGTAATGTAGTCTACTCCACGTTAACAAACGTATATGGCCTGAGCAGGGCTAGACTGAAGTTCATGAGCATAGATTAAAAAGCAATCAAATCAACATAAAGTCATCTCACAGCTTTATGCTATTTTGTTATGGGACTAACTACATAGGCTAACCGTCAGTTAACAAACACATCAGTAGGCTGTAAGAGTTCAAGTTTAAGAGATACAGCCACAGTGTCTCTGCCTGATTCCTCTACCATAACACAAGGTGAAAAGGACAAAGACCCTTCTACACTTTCATTCACTTGCTGGATTGCAGTCATGAACCTTAAAATCAGCCAACGCTGAAACAAAACACTCGTACAGCCTGAAAGCTGATTCTACTCCGATAGCCATCTCACCATGAAAGAGAGGCTCAACCATAATACAAATCAGCAATAGAAGAATCCACAGTGTTAAGAAAAGACAAAAAAACAAGCATCACACTCCACAGACAACTTCACGCATAAGGTACTGGAGGTCTATGTCACAATTCAGGCTAACGAGTCTGAGTGGATTTACTTAAGTCAAATAAAACCTGACATACAGTTAATTGTCTTATTGCCCAAATAGAGAAAAAAAATGTTGCAGAAAAATAAAAGTTTACCTAATCTAAAATACAAACAACACTTTTTGATCATAAAACCTTTACAAAGTCTGTTTTTGTGCACCAACTAATTTACTATTATCATTATTAAACTATACTAATTATATATAAGCAATGTTTAATCTGTTATTCTGCCCTAACATCTCAAAACCCCACAGCTTTCCAAAAAAGAGAGAATTTCTCATGGATATAGTTAAATAATTAAATCATCACTCATTAGTCAGGTAATGTAATCTATGTAGTCAGGTAATGTAATCTATCAATATGTAACACTTTAGTCTGCTTAATTCATAGGAACGCAAATCTGTGCAAAACTGTCTCAACAGTTCTCATAGTCATCCACTAATAATGCTGGATAACCATCTTAAAATATTTAAAAGAAAATTTGACCTGAGAAACAGTGCCTCAAGGCACATATTTACTGCAGAAAAACAAAAATGCATCACATACTAGTAAAATGATTAAGAAATGGTGACCCTGCCCAAAAAAAGAGAGTAAACTGTACCTCTAAAAGTTTAGTTTATTGCTGCCACCAATGGTCAAAACAACAGGAGTTTTGCTGTTGACTAGAAAACTAAGCAAACACAGTTTTCCCAATAGTTTTCCATTACTCAACAGTCATAAATGACAAAACCTTCAATGAGTATCAAAGAGAACTACTGATGACTGATCAGCATGAGACACTATAACTACAGCACTTATAACTAATGTTATTACCAAGTGTGACTTCACTACAGCATCCATATATTGGAAGAATGACTGTTCAAACAAAGTATAGACATCTAAAGCTGTCTCGCCAAAACAAACCGCTCAGTCTCTTCTGAGAGTCTCTCAGTTTTTCACACTGATGGGGTGAAAATGGAGCCATGCTATGTAGGGTATAATATGAGGCAGTTCAGGTTTTTGTACTGTTCATAGCTCAGTTGCACTGTTTTATAAGGTCACTATTTTGCAAAAGAACATGCGACTTCAGTTTTTTGCACTGGGATGCATGATATCTGAAAAATATTAGTAAAGGAACATAATTGCTCAAAAAAGCCAAGCGACAGGTTTGACAGATATTTTAAAGCGATATCTGATGATGTGTCTATTGTATTCCTGAAGAGGAGAATGTTTAGTCAATGCTGGACTGTATCGCTAAAATATCGGTCTTTTATTCATTTTACTGCATGTGTAACCCCACAGAACTAAATGTTTAATTTCTCTTTAATGCTAATCCAGGTCAATGTAGCCTCACTTTCTACATTTTACAAGTGTTTATGTATCTGTATCAGCATCTGCACACAGGTACACGAAAAACACTGCATATCAGCATCGGCCTATAGTTTCCCTATTGGTGCATCAAAACGAATCAAAATGAAGTCATAACTCAGAATTAAAAATGGCATCAAATTCATCAAAATGGCATGTTAATTAATGTGTAATAAACACAAGCAAAGGTTCATACTTATTACTACTATCATATACTGAATCCATGACAATTCAGCGGTTTGACAACGTAAATGCAGCCTGTATATGAAGATCACAGTATAAGAAAACATTAAATAAATGAATATTCACAGCACACCAAAAAGGAAGAACAGTACAGGTCTACTAAGTTAGGTGAAAGGGGGGTGAGTAGTCAAGTATACTCATTAAAAATAATCCACACTCTCAAAAAAGATGGTTCTTCAAGGGTTCTTAAGTAAAGGGCAAGGTACTAGAAGCATGCTGAAGTGGTTCTTCAGATGGACAACGTGTTTTATATGGTTCTACTTAGCACCTAAAACGTTTCACTACTGTTACTGTTGGTTTCTTCTTTCTTTTCTTTTCTGAACATGTGCTGCAGTTCTCTGTGCAGCTGACAGGACACACAGGAAAGGGTTCATCCTGTGAGTAAACATCAGCTAGCTTGCTTGCTAACGGACACTGTGGACATTGAACCAGCCACAGCGCGTTAGCTCGTTAGCTTGCTATGTTGCAGAGTCGATACACTCTGCCGGCTTTGTCTCCACCTTATGAAAAAAAAACTAAAGGCAGTTTAGTTAAATTGTTAAAAAAAATCCCTGAATTACTTTTTTAAACATGTCCGTTTTAAAGCAGTAGCCTTTCGTGGCCTGCACCTGTCAGGAACATCCAGCTAGCCGGGGTTAGGTGTGCTACAAGTCTGCTTCTTAACCGCCAGCTTGTTCGAATTTTCGCGTTCCACCTTAAATGGTGCGGCTGTTACACTCTGGCGCCTGATGCACCAAAATGTAACTACTGCACCATTTAAGGTGGAACGGAAAAATTCGAACCAGAAGCTGCCGAGTAAGATACCAACTTCAGCCTCGATGCTAAAAGTTTTTTTACACACCGTCAGAAGGACAACAAGAGTTTACAGAACACCAAGGGCGGCTAAATCACACCGCAGCCTGCAAGAGGCGCTGATAAATGAGCGCTGAAAGTCCACTGCAAGTGTCTGAACTACCTGACTCTGCTGCTCGGGCCGCTCCGAGGACGCCATCGTCTCCGGGCTGCGCTCACAGCTCCTGCTAACAAGTGGGAGATGCGGATTTTGCACCTACTGATCGAGTCTGGCACAGGCCGACGAGTCGAACCAGAGCTGAATTCGTTGTGGATAGAGACGTTTTCACTAAAGTTGAATTTCGCTGAATTCTCAAAACAAATGTCACAATTCAATCGTTGAGATAATTCAGTGTTGTTTGAAGTCAAATGTTTAATGTTTTATCTCGAGATAATGACTTTCTGGAGATTTATATAGGGTCAAAATTGGACACTCTACTGCAAGAAACACAGATGTGCCACAGCCTAAACAGATCAACAGCCTGAACAGCTGTTTTTCTTCTACCTGGCAGAAATATGAGACGTATTTTTTTTTTTGCATTTAATCGGCGATGAGGAGATGTAGGCTAACAGGCGTAGGAAATTAAAACATGAAAAGGAGAAGAGGCAAAAGAGCTTACAGACAGAAAGAAGGGGATAGTAATTATTTGTCTTTCTATAGGGTACCAAACAAGTACAAAAATAGACACAGAACAAACAAAAATTAAAAAATAAATTAAAAAGAGAACGAACACCAGGGGATATGCACAAAAAGGCTAAATAGAACATTTTTACTTACAAAAACATGACAGAAGTTGGTGTAATTATAAAATTTAGCTACAATATCATTCACTTATTATTATTTTCTCCCTTTATCCCAAATACAGACACACACACGTACGACAAAGTGAATAGTTAACCAGCGAGGTTAGTAACACTAACGTTACTTCGTATCTTCTTTACTGAATGCAGCAAAAACACGATGAGTATAGTGAAAGAATCTAAAGAGGTGGGGAAAAAGTCCGAACTCCACTTTTTCCTCCTCTGTGTTGCACTCTGTTGTGCATTTTTCCATTACTCTCCCCTGTCTTAGGCCAACGAGTAGATTCAGAGCTACTAGGAGGGGGTGTGTTCCAATCTGCGCACTTGTGTTCTACGTAGGGCGCTTAGCTACCACTCCTCCTAGCCGCCACTGCAGTGTTTAGGACCAATACACACTTAGTTACTCTTTTTATTTTATGAAGTTTTGGATTGTTGACTCATATTATGGTCTCATAGAAGAAAAATAGTGTTTAAGTGTTTACGGTCGTTACATTTTAGCGTTTACATTCCTTTTACAGCTTGTTTTTATTACCCAGCTAATGGACCTAACGATGTCTGTAACGTGTAATTAAGAAAATAATCATCAAAGTGTCCTGAGTACTGACAGACTGGCGGATTCAGACTTCTTTTTAACATGCAATACCCAGTGAACGATTCCAAACTCAAATGCGTTTAAATAATGGCAGATTGATTGGTGTGAAGCAAGTGTTCGTACTAGAATGCACTAAGTAGTTTACAAGTACAGAGAATCGGGACAGGGCCATTATAAGGCCATCAACTGAAAACGAAAACAAATAATGGTTATGTCGTTACCGCTCCAGCGTTACCTCGCAGCGCTGTAACTGCCCCGAGCTCCGTTTCCGGACACGGGGGTAACTAACGTGAGGTTTTAATGTGTATCTTTACTCATGTCTGACTGAAGCTGTCATGGCAGAGAAGCCTTGCAAAGTGTGTAACTTCACCCGCCAAAACCTTTACGGGTTGGCAGCGCCTTCTTTGGGTCAGCTCAGAATTAAGGGTAAGTAAACTGCTATCATCACACAGAGAGCCCCGTGTGGCAGTTTCACTGATGTTGAGAGCAGATATGAGCCGCACATGGCAGGACACGGTAAATTACAGCTACTCGACGAGTTTCTGCATTAGATATAAGTGGAAAGTGCTACTCCAAAACAGTCTCATGGTTCACGGAGCACAAGTTTCTTATTTGAATTATCCGGTCTGCCTTAAATGGTGCAGCAGTTTCATTCTGCTGCTTGCAGAGGCCTAGCGGGAATGTGACTGCCGAACCATTTAAGGTGGACTGGACAATTAGAATACAAAGATAGGGAATAGATCAACTTCAGCCTCGTTCTTGCTACTTAATCTCTTCTTCTTCTCCTCCACCTTCTTGTTGTTGACTTTGATAGAATGTAACTGCTGTATTATTTAAGATGGAATGCAAAATTAGAATATGAAGCTGAGGAAGAGGCCAACTTCAGCCTTCTTCTTCTACTTCTTCTTGACTTTGGTAGAATGTAGCTGCTATACTATTTAAGGTGGAACTGAAAGAAGCCAACTTCTTGCTACTGAATCACTTCTTCTTTTCCTTCTCCTCTTTCTTTGTTTCCTTGTCCTCCTTTCCTGCTTCTTGTAGTAGTTGTTCACATTCTTCTTTTTTCTTCTTTTCCTTGTTGTTCTTCTTTTTCTTTCTCCTTTTTGTTGTTCTTCTTCCTACTTCTTACTCCTCCTCCTCCTCCTCCTCCTCCTCCTTCTTCTTCTTCTTTTCCTTCTCCTCTTTCGTTGTCTCCTTCTTCTTTCCTACTTCTTGTAGTAGCTGTTCACATTCTTCTTTTTCTCCTTGTTGGTGGTGTTGTTGTTGTTGTTCTTCTTCTTCTTCTTCTTCTTCTTCTTCTTCTTTTCTCTCACAGACATCAAGCCTTCTGTGTTTTTTGTAACCCATTTGTAATCATTTTCATAATAACCTGTTTTATGCTTCAATACATTTTTTTCTGTCTCTCTTGTAGCAAGTGAAGTGTTGGGGTTTAGTCCAGGAGCCTCCGTCTCAGTGGTGCTTGAGGATGATGGCACTATCGTGGAAGACGAAGCCTACTTCCTGTGTCTGCCCTCAAATACCAAATTCATGTTGCTGTGTGATGGTGAGGTGTGGAGACCTGCTAAAAAATGTAAGAACATGAATGACTGCAAACGTTTCCTTGTTTAAGAAATGTTATCTATGTAATCTGATCAGGATTGTTGTTTGCCTGTAGATGATGGAGGCACCGCATGGCTCAGCAGAGAGTCTGTTGATGTGGAGACAGACATGGTGGACAACCTCAGTGGTGTGGAACCCTGGCACAGTTTAGCACACCAGCTCAAACAGGACCTGGCCAGCATCATTCTGATGTCCGAGGCAGATCTGCAGGTCAGCTAAACCAGTCACTGTCCAAACTCCAAGTGGCACATTTCCTCCTATGGATAATCATATACTGTAATTATCAAATCATAGTTATTTCTTGAAAAGTCATTCCAGATAGGAGGCATTCTGGGTGTTCATTTTATTTCCACTTCATTCTGAATGTCATACAGCTTTGTTTGTCATTGAGAAATGATCTACAGCTCTCTGTTCATCATTCTGGACACATTTAACATTTTCTTTATTTTTCACAGCTTCTTACTGATTCGTTTAAAGCCGTGATGTTATAGAGTTGTATCAACTTAATAGAAAATATATTTTTTCCTTTTATTGGAACCAGTAATCCCAAATTTTTAAATTGTGATTCCAAACTTTTAAAAGTAGTGTATACGGTTACATGCAAAAGTCTGGGCGCCCCTGAACAAATGACGTTTTGTTGATTTTCTAAGTGATAGTAAGTTAACGCATCCTCTACTACTGCACATTTTAATGCACAGTTACTGTTTATTTGCTGAGTTTTACATATTTAGGGAAAAAAAAACATAAACTGGGCCTGTGCAATAGTTATGGTACGATATATATTTTTTGTTGTTTTTTTTTGTTGTTTTTTTTTAAATGTTAAACTAAAATTTTCAGAAAAGTTCTATATTTAGTTTGTTTCCTGTAGAGGATGTGTTAATTTATTTTCACTTAGAAAATCAGTCATTTGATCAGACATTCGCATAGGACTGTCTGTTCGTCACAGAGCATTCATGGCACAGTTGTCACTGGGAATGGTATAATGTGGTATAAAAATCCCATTTTAATAATTTCAAATACAGTGTATGAATACCGTCCTCACAGTGGAAGTGCTCCTACAGTCTCCCTGCAAACTACATGTCAGTAACACACACTCTCTGAAATAAAGGTATGAATCTGTCACTGGGGTGGTTCCCTCAAGGGTGCATCTCAGTGCCTTTAGTCAGGGAACATAACTGCACTATAATCCACTGAAGTGATATTTTCTAAGTTGTACTGACTCCACACACCCTGTCTCATCTCCAGGCTTTTTATTTTATTGTTCTGTTTTAAAACATTAGATTATTAAAAGGTACAAATACGAACTTTTAACCTAGAAAAATGTATTTAAGTTGCACAATTGGAACTTAAAACCACTGTTGTCCTTTTGAGGTACATTTACATTGTTTGTACCTTGATGAACGGATAAAGTACCTGCACAGAACCTTTATTTCACACAGTGTAGCTGTGGTTAATATGGACAAATTATCACAGTACTTGGAGACATTTTCACAATATGCAATACATAATCACAATATTCTGAGACACACATTTTGACAAATGTGCTATAAAAAGCCATGAATGCAATTCAATAATGTTCAATCTAGTTAAACAGGACTAATTATGCTGTCTTTATAATCAAACATGCAGCTGATCAGGGCTCTTCTTTATCATACTGATAAATCAGAAATGTATATTGTTTATATTGTTAGCAAAGTGTATAAGAATTACAATAGAATAGCATCATATGTTCACAGATTTATTATAGGAATAGTAAGATGTAGTAGAGCTGCTGATAATCTCATGTTTATTTAAACTGTAGCTGATTTTTTTTGTTGTTGTTGTTTTACAAGAGGTTCAAAGATGTTATGGATATAATACCTGTAGTGAAATTATTTCAATCTGGATTTCAGTACATTTCAAAAACACTGAGATAATACCAAAAACCGTGATCATTTTACTCAGTGAGCTCATGATGAGGAATTTTCTGCTACCTCTGCTACAGAGTCTGGTGGATGCTCCCTGTGCAGATCTAGCCTCAGTACTGGGCTTCCCTGAGCAGAAGACCCAGGATTTACAAGACACCTTACAGAGAGTCCTGGACCGCAGGGAAGAGGAGAGGCAGTCCAAAGAGTTACTGCAGCTCTATCTGAAGGTTGTGGAGAAGGAGCGTGGCCAGGCGCTACAGCAAGAAGGTAGGAATCTAGGTGCCTGTTTATTTCATTCCACTGTAGAAGCTCTGCTTGTCTTTAAACGACACACATTCTACATTTCTGTACATTATTTATAGGGGGCTATGAAAATAAAGTGTGACTGGAATGCCTTAAAAAACATCATTATTAATCAAAAAAATGCTCAAAATCTACACTCACGAAAGTGATAATAAGTTAACACATCCTCTACAGAGAACAAAATTAAATACGGCATTTTCTTTAGTTTTTTTCTTTAGTTTAGAGTTTAACTTGTTGGAAAAAAATAAAATACAAAATGTGCCATAACTTTTGCACGGGCTACTTTTTTCTATATGTCAAATTCAGCCAATAAACAGTAATTATGCATTAAAATGTGCAGGAATGTGTTCTCTGTAGAGGACGTGTTAACGTATTTCTCTTAGAAAATCAATAAAATATGTAAGTTGACCAGCCTTTGCATACGGCTGTAGGTGCATTTGCATTTGGCTCACAGAAAGTCTGCAGCCAGTAGGTGGAGCTATTGTGCTAAGAATATGCATTATTCTGTTATAACAAATGAATTGTTTTTTCCATTTAGAGACTAAACAGCAGAAAGTGACTTTGAAGTCTTATTTAATTTAACCACTGCAGTGGAATTGATTGCACTTTAAATAGTGTTATTTTAAGAGTTAGTTAGTATTCAGTGCATGTTGCAGGTGAACCTGTGCAGGATGAAAGAGATGGGATAGAGGTGGACTTGGCATCAGGCTTCAGCTCTAGGACTCTGCTGATTCTGAAGGGCAGAACTAGTCCTGAAACGAGACTCTCCAATGAAGAACTGCAGGTATTTACACAGCTGATCAGTGTAACAGTGTACTCGGCTCTCCTAATTAGTTCCAACACATCTGGCTCTGCTATTCGGATAACGAAGGCCTTGATTAACTGGATAAAGTATGTTAGATTAGGGTTGGAGCTGACTTCTCCAGTGTGATAGACCACCAGCCACGTCACAAATCGCTCACTATGCACCATATTCTTACAGTACACACGCCAATAGTGGGCGATATACTGGTACATCCAGGCCTTAGTCCAGTTTGTTGTCAAGAGAAGGAAGTGGCAATGTCTTGGGGTTATCCTAGCGTGAACACCAGCCTACTTGCCCACTTCCGCTTCCTCTCGCACCTCTCTCGGTGAGCTGCTTCAGACAGTGACGTGGTCTCTGGGCCTGGTTTTGTAACTAGCTGAGATAGATACACCATAATTTATATATATATATATATATATATGTTTGTATTGTTCAGTGCTCTCTTTTATACTATTTTGCACAATAAGAATATTTACTTTATTTCTTTATTTTTTCAAATCCAGAATGGCCAAAAAAGTAACAGTAGTGCTACGTTTAAAAAATCACTGTAAAGTGTAAATACAAATGATTTTTATTTATTCAACATTTCACACACTGCACTGCACTAAATCCAGTTAATCGGAACTAATTATGCTCTCTTTGCAATCAAATATGCAGTTGGTCAATGTTCTTTAAGTACTGATGATATCCAGCATATGCTCAGAAAATATATTGTGACATACTGTAAAGATATTGTAAATTGTAAATATTTTTGTACTTCACTACATCGTGATATATACAAAACATTCAGAAATTTTAATTATACTGTTACATTAATTTTTGGCCTCTACTACAAACTACTACACTATCTGGTGAGTGTGTATTTTATTCATTGTTTTTTTCAGATTTGTCGCATATTGAACACACACTTTGCATTAAATGGAGGTAATATGTTGCTGTGCGGTACCTTATGGCTTTGAATCGCACCTCAGTAGCCTCAACTGCCAATTTTTTTCTCTTAATTTGTGTCTGCAATCCTCTGGACTCCATTCAGAGACTTCTAGCACAAGTGGAAACAATGTGTCCTGACCAAATGTTTACTTAACATATACATTAACATAGGCCATGTTTCATTTGTGCTTTGAGTCAGTGCATTCGTTTAAGGAGTACATTTTAGGTAAATGTATTATATCAAAGCAAAGCTAACACATAAAAAAACATCAGAGCTTTAGAAATTAAAAAGGATGACGTTATCCTGATTTTTTTTATTAATGCATTTTCATCTCCATTCCACATGGGGGCACTATCCTTCTTTGCTCTACAGCATGAAGGCAAGACTACCCCATCTGGTAATATATTTTAATGAAGACAGGCGGTCACTCATTTATTATTCACTTTAATTTACGCAGTTCATCTCATTCTCAGGGCCATGTCAAAGCAAATAAACAAAGGAAAAGAAAAGATGGAGTATTTATTGACAGCAGGTTATGGAGGCAGACCCAGACCACAGGCTGGTTCCAATAGAGAGTATTTCCCAGTTACTGTCTGCATTGCTACACGTAGTTGGTACATATGAATAACTGACCTTTCTGTTTTAGATACTGCTCTCAGTTCCTAAATGGTTCTTATCTTGGATCTACTGGTCCAGGAAAAACTCGTAGGCTGTGTTCACACTGCAGGCAAATCGGATTTGTTTCTCAGATCAGATCTTTTGAGACGAATGTCTGCACTGTTATTTGAAAGTGATCAGATCAAATTTGTATGTCCAGACATCACCAACCTATCTGCATGTGTTGCTGTGGTAACGACGTAGGCATCAGCAACTACGTAGCTACGCTGGTGATAAGGATGTCACACGCGGATGCAGGAGAGATGGAGGTGCATCATCTCGCCCTGCAAACTCTTCAGAATTCTCAGACATAAGCATGAATCTTTGGCGCTCGTCTTGAATCCCAGCACTTCCGTCACTCTGGATTTGACATCGTGGTTGTCGCATTGGGAGTGATGCAAAAGACTCTTCGAAATCCATTTGAGCAGCCAGAGCATGCAGACTGAGAAGCATCTGTGAAAATCTGATTGGAATTTCAGACCACTTCCATATGGTTTGGTCTAATCTTCAAAAATCGGATTTCATCTGTGTTTTTTGCTGTCCAGGCTATCAGAAATTAACCTGGATACAATCTGGATATGCCAAAAATCAGATTTGGGCTGTCAGTCTCAACAAGGCCTTATTGGTATAGAACATTCGCATTTTATGGAGGTTCTTATTAGAGAAATTCCACATCGATTTTTCATTACAAAGTTAATCAGTCATCGATGTGGCTCATAGCAGAGAAACTAGCAGGGGTCGCCTGTCTACAATGAAAATGTGGCCATTTTATTTACAATCCAAAATAACCAGTGAACCTACATGTGTTCTGAGTTTTATATGTAATGTTGATAATGATAAAAAAGTGATAAATCCAAAAAAAAAAAAAGTTTTCCTCGGGAACTATTTTGCCCTAAAACACCCTGTATGTACTTCTCTGCCATAAATAGCTTTAAACAGAACATTTTAGGCCAAAACATTATCTCAAAATTGTTCTTAAGGAAAGGCATCAGGCAGCGTATTCATAACCATTTCAGGGAATAACTTTCTGTAAGGTGGTGTTTAGAGGCTTCAGATGTCTGGTTCTATCACCACCACTGCAAACAATTTTGAGTCCCTAAGTTTCTCTAGAATGGCATCTTTAACATCAGGGAACTCCGAATGACTGAACATCTTAATGATTTATTTTACAGACATTTTGAAAACCAATGATGATTCCTTTGTGGCACCTTCATTCTCAAGAGTGCCTTCATTTTTCTGAGGACTGACAAAAATGTTGAATATCATGTGCCTGTGCAGGAGGTGCTGAAACAGGGCGTGGAGACTTTGATGGGCGTGCTGGGCTGGGACAGGGAGGGGACCACTGACTTGTTGCAGGCCTGTGAAGGGGAGCTGAATAAACGTCTACAGCAGGTTCAAGCCCTGCAGTCTCTCAGCACTCACTCCCAGCAAAGCAAGTCCACGTCTGCAGAGTCACACACAGAGGAACCACAAACTAAACGGCACAAATAGCTCACGCAGTGCTTAGACACACAGCTGGACGTACACATTCAGTTACATGTTTCAGTATATCTTACCTCTGCACATCATTTGAAAATGGCAGCTGCTCTTTACATTATGTGAACACTTCATAACAAATGGACCAAAAGAACTGGTCTAAAATTACTCTGAATAAATCTCTGAGCTCTGAAGCTGATTTTGACTGCGATGTATATGTTTCAAATCATGTTTCATTATTTTTCACCTCCAAAATGTACAGCCTCCGGTCCTGGCTGATGTAGGTCAATTTTTAGATCACATGCATTAAGAACCATAGTGTGTTATTTAATGTGGTCTGGTGTCAGAAAAAAGGTCTCACAATAATAGTATTGATTTCTGTGAAGTTCCATGTTTCTGATTTGTTACCCACAAATATGAACGTGAGCGCTACACTGAAAAGGTAGATTATCAGTGACAGCATGGTGCTTTGTAATTTACTCCTGTATAAACAGCAGTAAAATAGAAATTTGAAAGTAATAGTGACTCATTGTGTATATTATGGCATACCATTATGGCTAAGATAGCAACCTTATACCTGACAGTGCCATTTTCAATACAATCGTTTCTATAATGTTGAGAATTTTATAAAATGATCCATGTAGCAAAATAATAGCCATTACAAGTGGCAGGACAGGACATTTTGTACATGTCTTTAATTAAACCTTTTCTTTGCTCAACCTCTTTGAGTTGATTTCATGAATGCCATGTTTACCAAGTGCAGATTTGTAAGTATGTCACATCTTAACTGGCTTTAAAGGAGTCCATGGAAACAAGTAATTACCTTCCAAAATCATAAAAATAACCTGTGATGGGGAAAATATCAGGCTTTCCTGGCTGACATATAGAACTGTGCAAAGGTTTTAGGCATCTGAGAATGATACGCATTTAACTGGGCATTAAGAGTTTATTATTATTTGTTTTAAATAGTGCATAAAAATAAACAAAATTTAGAATGAAACAATATGAATGGTTCAAAAGCAGTTTGTAATTAATAAAAAGGGCAAAAGTGAGCTGTGATATCTGATGGGTATGAATATGTGATGAAGCTGACAGGTTTAGTGCTACTGATGAAAAAGACAAAGTAAGATCAATGTAATCAATGTGAATGTGGTTTCCCCATTAGGTAAGCAACAGGTCACTGCTGCCCTTTTTCTTTGTGTTATAACCGCTTATTAATGATTTTAAGGTTTTGATGACCTAATTAATAACCGTTAATACACTAATTGTAATCCATTCCTGAACACTTTATAAGGGTCATCTTTTAAAGTGGTACCCAGTGATTTGTCATTTCATGTATGTTAGTGTACTAGCCTCATCATTTCCATTCCTTTTCTGGAGGAAACTCAATATTTGCATTTACTGTCTAATATTTAGTTTATCAATCCTTCATTAAGTAAAATCAGGAGTCCTGCTGATGGAATTTAACAAATCAAAGCAGTTAGTGGAGTGCTTTGGAGAGCTTTGGAGAATTTTGGAGGTGTTGAAAACTATCCCTGCAGATTTCTTTGCAAGCCTCCTGAGAAGAATGGAAGCTGTAATAAAGCCAAATATTTTTGGAATTTTAAATAAAAAATTTGTAATTTTGTTTTGAAAATGATTTTGTACATAGGCATTAACTTCACTATTTATATTCGTCTTTGATTTAATTTGCTTTTTAGCATAAGACTTTAGATGAAATCTTTAAGACAAAAAACTGCATATTCAGTTGGGTGTGTCCAAACTTTTTGCTGTAGTGTAGTTTCTGCTCTTTAACCATAAAAATTAAGACTAATTTAAACTAAGATTGCATGTACTCATTGCTCATTTCATGGAATGTGCAAATGTACAGTGGATCTTTGACTGTTTTTTACCTCTTATTTCAAATTTAAATCACATTTCCATGTTCAGCATCCTAGCAAACGTCTTTATTCTTTTTTTTACTTTGTCTTTGATTTCTATAATAAGTTGTCCATTTTCCAGCTCCAGGTTTAGCTTATTAGAGCGCCCTGGCTCAGAATGCTTTATATGTAGATCTACTACCCAGCTACCAGGCTGCTAACAACCTCCATACACTGTGTCTGTAATGAAGGACAAATTTATTCGTGGAAACCTGCGCTTGTTCAGCAGAGCAGTCTTGTTAAAAGCACTGAGCTCACACCTGACGACATCGTCCCGCCTTACAATGTAATGAGCATGGGACTTGTGACTGGTGCTGAGCCAGAATTTGACTGGTCCACTTAAAAAACACAACATGAAAATGCCTCACTGAACCTAGTCAATGCCTCAGAGTTGCTTGTGGTGCCATAACATGCATAGAAGCTGTGCTGTTAAAGGGCCAATATTCTACATTGTCCATAGGTATTATTTCTAAAATTTGTGTGGTTTTATATACCAAAAAATTTTTACCTTCCACATCCCATTTGTCAAACACAAGACCTGTGGACCGAGTCAGGCCCGTGGCACAATCCTTTTCTATTATTATTAGCCTGTTTCACCCTGAGATGCACTACAGTCCCCAGCATGCACCGCAATATAATGTGTGCTGTGACCCCCTTCCCCCAACAACAATCTGTGGGCCAGTGGTTACACAAAAAGAAATGCCTGGTGTCTAGTTCAAGCAAATAGGCAGTTTTTAAAACCTACCAAAAACAATTTAATTTTATTTAAAATGATTTTTGAATAAATATGTTGCTGTTGCAGTTTTGGCATATTTTGAATCAACAATGGCCGTTCGGGTCACGTCACAAGGTTAAGTAAAAATGATTATTATTATTATTTTTTTAAATATGGCCCGTTGAGTCTCTATGACTTAAAATTAAAATTGCTGTTTTTGTTTCCGTACCTTTAAGACTGATGTATGTAAATGACCTGTTCTGACTGGCTGCCCTGTATTGTGCCACATTCAAAAATTTGTCTGAGCTGAAAAACTCTTTATAACTTCAGTGTGAATGGGCGGGGCTAAACTGCTTTATTCAGAATAGGTAGATACAGGTAAATGAGCTTTTGTGACAAACTCAAACTCAAAACAGGCTGGTTTTGCATGTTAGGTTCCAGATATGCACTGTATGGATCGGGGAGTGAATCTTTAAAACTTTTACTGTTTTTTGCATGCTACGTTGAACTCTTTGATTTAAAAAGTGAGGAAAATGATTTTTTCCATGCTGTGGGCTCTTTAATATTCTCTTACTTTTTTTGAGACACAAGGGTGTGTTAACTGCAGCATGGGGCTACATTGATTAAGAATTCGATATATGGGTGCTCTATATGCACTGTCACAGCTAAGGGTCTCTGTAATGGAGCTCATAGTGTGCGTAGTTCCTGTTGCATAAGTCTTCCTGTCATGAGGCCTTTAATAGCTGACTGACCCTCTGTGCTATAGCCTGTAGATCAAAAACCCTGGTACTAGCTGCTGCCTTATAATCCTCTGATTAAGAGTTCTACTCTGTGCTGGAGCTGTCATGATTACTTGATTTAAAACAAATCAACAATACATCAAAAATGCATCTTCACAGCGATTACTCGGCAGCTCGCAAGGTGATAATAAATGTTTTCAATTCTCCTACAGGTCTCTCTTACAGTGAGATATATGCATCTATTTGTATGCGTTTTTGCTAGATGGCAGTATTGTATACATGTATTTTTAATGAAGTCACTTTAAAGTTAGGCTCCGGCCAAAATGTAGAAATGTAGCCATTGCTACATCTGTTACATGGTTACTCACCTCTTTCAGAGGTGCTGGAATATTCTCTAGAGATGAATTTTCCAGTTTAAAGATGAGGAAGACTCCCTTCTGATGATGTGTCTTGAAGGTGGGGGTAACATTTGACATTTAAAAAACGACAAGCTCTTTGGGGCAGATAGACGAGGGTAGCCAGAGCTAATGTTACTGCTAAGAAGACGAATATCACATATGTACTTATTGGCTTCTACACTGATTTCTTTATTAATTTTTGGGGGGATTCCTAATGAATGTATGACATTTTTGCGTAATGCATGCTGGGTGAGAGAAACTAAAGGATGAAAACACAAAAACAATATAAAATTGTAAATTTTGTCAAAACAATGAGGCTGAAGGATGTAAATCTGGGCTACAGAATATTATAAAACATTACAAATAACATTAAATGCTAGATTTGCAATGCCCCTTTAAGGCCCCCTTCTTTTTGTCCAGTGAAGTATTTTAGAATCTTTGAAATGCATGTTTTTTTAACCATTATTGTTCATTTAAATCTATTTGTGCTGTATGGCCTTAACTCTGCTCATTCAATTAATGGTCAGAACAATCAGTTGATTACAAATATAATGGACAGAGCGCTACTTTGCGCCACACTCCAACCTGAACCTTCACTGTGAAGTAAAACTCGTGCAATCTTTCACTGTTCTGTAGAACAAACAAGGTTTATTTTAAGAATCATTCCAAACAGGTGTTTTTCTCTTTTCTCTGTGAATGTCAGTATAATGTCAGTGCTTTGGGTCAGTGTCCACACTCGAGCATGGCCATGCTCACTGGACACTGACACTGAGACCATGCTGGCCTGCACATCACTGAGTCCTGATTTTGCCAAGGGCAAACAAATCAACTGTGAGTTATCTACTCCCCACCTCCAACAAAGCATAACTGCAGCCATATGTCAGACCTCAGCAGAGTCATAGTGTCTTGTTCTATTGTTGATTAACCCTTTAAACACTCGGGCCTTCTTTCCAAACTTCTATAATTTAAAACTTTGCGCTGTTTTTTCAGTAAATACTCAATAACGTAATATGGTTGTATGTAATATGTCTGAGTAACTGAAACTGATAATACTGTGCTGAATGCAGTTTACAGACATGTACATACTGAAGATAACTGAACAAAAATCACCTGTTACTAATCCCAATTTTTAAATTAGATTTATTACTGTTTTTTTGTAGTCTGACATTTGTAGAGAGTCTGTAGAAGATCTCTTTCTCCTGCACTGTCCAACTCCTTATGATATAGACCCACAGGCTGTATAAATGGAGCTGAAACTGATTGAGACTCTACAGGGCTGAAACACTACTGAAGAGGCTATTACACCTGAGTCAAGAGGCTTGAATGGCCGCACTGATGGGAGGCAACGGTGGCAACTTTGGTAACAGATGCATAATGCATAAGAGGTAAATGACTGTAAATTATGATGCCGAGGCTGGGAGACTGAAGCAGCTCATTTCATTTTTTAAAACACCTCTGCATTTAGGCCAGTGTTTCTGAGCTCAGTCGAAATGCAACAAGTGGCTCTTGGTTATGCTAAATACCTCTACAGCAGTGATTGTTTCCAAATGATGATCCTGGCCTTCATTCACTTGGCTGTCTGACAATGGCTGTGGTAAATCATAGCATTCAACCAATGGGACAGAGAGGTCAGCCAAATTTTTGTAATGAAGACTAAGACTTTTTTTCATGTGTGGTACAACAAAGTATTTTGTAATTAAGTGACAATCTTAATATTCACATTTAAATGCATAATACACCCTTTAAAATAGGTTCCTCAAGTTATATATAACAACTTAAAGAATGCTGGAATTTTTAGATGTTTATTTGTAGGGTTCAACAGTTCCTCTCTTTAATAGAAAACCTGTTGTAAAGGTTCTTTAAAAGCATTTTAAATTGATTCTACATAGCATCAAGCTATTTTTAGGTCAAATAACCTTTTTTGGTACTACACAGAGCCCTTAATTAACTGTTTTGTGACATAGTCTCTTCAATCCAAGAAATGTAATTGGTCACTTTGGTGTATATCCCATAATAGCCCGCTTCAGCACATTTATAACCCCAAGAGACGATGCCACCAATATACCAACTACGACTCTGGTTGTCCAGAAACACATACGGTCCTCCGCTGTCTCCCTGACAAGAATCCACACCCCCCTCAGTCGCACCTGCACATACCATGTTCTCTGTTACCACCAGCTTTCCTTTATCTGACACTATAGAGTCATACTTAGCCTTGCATACTTGAAAGTCAACAACAGGTATTACTGCAAACTTCAGATGAGGAGAACCACCTCTACCCTCCTTTTGCCAAACACCCCATCCACTCACTGTACCATGGTCATCAGCCTTCAGCAGGAATCGCCTGTCCTTTCCTGGCAAACACACGGGCATGATGGCTGCACTTATGGCTACTTTACGATGCAGTTTGATCAGAGCAATATCATTGTTGAAGTTCACCCCATCGTGATGGTAATCTGGGTGCATGAAGACCTCCTTAGGAAAACCCAGCTTCGCCTGGGGATCTTGCCGTTTGACCAGGCCCAGCTTCACACCCAGGTTGGACACTTCACCATAGCCTTGTAGGACATGAGCAGCGGTCAGGACCCAGTCGTCAGTGAGCAAGGCCCCACCGCCCTGGAAATGGCCTCCTTTCAGAATCATCACCTGCCAGGGGATCTCATTCTTCTCTACATTCTCGCCTCCAATCACCTTGGACAGTCTCCCTTGAGGCTTCCCGCAGACTTCAAGACAAGACAGACACAAGTTACTGTAAAGGCATTCAACAGAGCCACAGCACTGTATAGTTGCCCAGCTCTGCTTGTTTTAAAACTGATCTATTCATTCTCCACCCACACATGCTCTTTCTTAGCATTGCCAGGTTGGACAAGCTTTAAAAGAAGCAAAAATCCCATTCAAACTAATGAGAAATTGTAGCCCACAACTAAATCATTTGTGCACAATTTATCTCTTTTATTTTATGCACATCAATGTACTACCATTGGCCCATTAAAACAGACTCTTTCTTTCTTAAATCTATAAATCTCCTTCGTACAATTGAACGTTTGCAAAATTCCAGCAACTTGTGCATCTCTTAGTCACTGTTACCAATGTCCATTAAACTTTCAGCTCCCTGGTAGCATCTATAGTTCTCTTGCAAAATCAGCTGCACATAGGAACATTTAGAAGCACACATTTTAGAAGTACCATATTTTAGTTTAGGAACACATTTCAGAATGTACCGTGCCCCTACCTTTAACCAAGCGGTTAATGATGATGATGAATGAATGAATGAATTTTAAAATGTTTCATTATTGAAAAATAAACTGGCTTTACAAGAGGGGCTGTGCAGTGGGGCCTGTGCAGCACCACAACGACAACATACTTCACCACTATAAGCGCAGATTATTTTCTCTAATTGAGACAAAACAGTAGCAAGTTTATGCACATATTAATGAGAACACAGTTAACATAAACCTTAAAACCAGCAACATTTCCCTGTAAAGCGTGCATCCGTTTTTGACATGCAAAACATTAACCCCAATGAAGACGACATAAATTACTATCGGAGAGCTAAAACGTGCATAAAGACAGAAAAAGCAGGAAACTTAAAAAAAACTGTCAAGCAGCCTAGCTGAAGTATAATGCCGCGGCAGGCGTGGAAATGTTTAGGCTTCTTTTCATTTATACTGTACCTCTGATGACGCAGATCACAGTCAACAAGGATGAACTGACTTTTAACTCAAGTGGGTAACATTTTATATTTGGTTTGGAGAGAAGGACAGTGTAATGGTTACTAAGCACTTATTAAAGGAGAAAACTAAACTGATGTTTAGAAAAGACGTGGAGAGCATCAGGATTATGATTGGCTATAACAAAAATTTACACTGTGACCCCGTTTACACCTGGTCACTTCATGTATCTGGATTTTATCTTGATAAGATTTTAGCCACAAGCATTTACCCTGGGTGGTCAAATGCCTCTTTTCTAAATGCCTCTTAGTTTGAAACTGCACCTAATATACGTTTATGACGTCAGTTTGCACAAACAGCCAATGAGATGCTCTGCTCCCCAACCTATCAGCACTCAGTAGCAGTAATGCTAGCGTTGTACTTCCCAAAACCCATTTGCTGTAGAAAAAAGGAAACATACAGGTAAGTTTTCTTTGCTTTTTTAGTGAAATACATCCTTCTACTTCCTAAAATTAAAGAAATGTTCTGGGCAAATGATCAGTAACCCATATAAAGTATATCTGACCCTATATCTGCCTGAAGATACGTGACAAAGGAAATAACACTTAGAAGCAGTGGTGACTGAGAGGCGTGCCAATAAAAAAACTAGTTAGACCTTGTGTGCAGGGCCATAATCTGGGTGGTCAAAAGATGGACCATCAGTGATCTACAGTCAGCGGGGTGCCGTCCTTAACAAGCCAGCAGACCGATATATGCTTGCTATCTGGGCTGATATGAGTTTACTCACTAGGTGTACACTCAGGAAGCTTCCGTCCACCCAGCGTGTCTCTCCAGTAGCCGTCATGAGCGCAAGTATAGCCTCCTGAAAAGACAGAAAGTATTCAGCTACTAAATATACACAAATATAGTCCATCTGTAAGTTCCATGTTGTGCATTATGTTTAACAGAATGTTTTTAGGATAATCTCTCACCCGTCATGCTGGTCTTCATGGTGTAGTATTCTTCGCAGCTGTACTTGATCTGAGATTTATATGTGGTTTTGGTGAATTCAACGCTTCCTTTGTAAATCTCATCAGGGTCTCCACAGTCAATGACTGCAAATTAAAATTAAACCGTTATTGAGCTTCCATAGGGCATCTATAAATAAATTTGCTTCTGAATGAACTGTTACATCAAAATCTTATCATCACTGTCATAGCAGAACCTTGTAACCTTTCTTTTTTGTTTTATTTTTACATCATTTGAACACATCAGCTGCCTTTTACATCATGTATGCTTTTTATAATGACTGGACTGATAGAAATGTTGTCCAGAATAAACCCTTTACAAGAAAGAACATTAAAGGGGAATAATTAAATGAGTCACATGTAAACAAAGTTATTCAGAGTGGTCTTTGTTTTGATATGCACCATTCTAGAGAAATTTACCCATCACAATTGTTCACAGTGGGGGTGATGGGAGCCAGTGCCTGATGTTTGTTGTAAGGGTGTTGTAAAATTATGTTCTGTTGATTTTCTAAGAGAAAATAAGTTATACATCCTCTACAGCAAACACACATCTGCACACTCTAAAGCACAAAAACTGTTTATTTGTTAAATTTAACATATTGGGGAAAAAGAAACCTTAAAATGTGGCTTGTGAAAAAGTTATGGCATCTGTCATACTGAATGTTTCTTTTTTCCCCCAATATGTTCAACTTAGCAAATAAATAGAAATTATGCTTTAAAATTTGCTCCGTATAGAGGACCTGTACTTACCTACACTTAGAAAATCAACAAAACATGTCATTTGACTGAGGGTATGCAAACTTTTGCACACGTGGGGGTTCACAGGTCATTTTTGAAAGTAATTAAAATGGCTAGATATGCATTGTGGATATCACAGCCCCTTATTCACATCATCACCACAAAAAAAAATCCGAGTTAGTAACTTTTTCTAAAATGCAATGAACCGTTTCACATTAAACCACTCTGAATGACTTTGTTTACATCTCAACCATTGAATTATGCAGACATTTTTAAAATTCCCCATTAAAATGTTTTTCAAAAGTTTTTTCATTCTCCTATAAATCTACCATTTCTTAAATTTTGTCACAACAGTGATATTATTTTTAGATGCAACATTCCATTTCATATCTGGCTGCTTGAAACTGCTGGTTTACTCCCCGTCTGTTTGACATGGCAAGCTTTACGGTCTATAGGTGATCATTCTTTCAATAAACCTCCATTGACAATTATGTACAGTTCATGCCTGTTTGGGTTGAAGTGACTTACTCGTACAGATGGGCATTGGACCATCCCAGAATCCATCCTTCAGGCACATGGCTTGATAGGAAGGCAAGCTTTCTTCTCCCTGTAGATAGAACAGACACTTTAAGCCCCCACAGCCCACAGAGGATTCATTTACCCATTCAGAAGTGAGATGCAAGTCATTTACCAGAGTTAACTCATAGCCAAGGTCACAAGTAACGTTGAAAGTGTCTGTTAAGATGTACTGGTCCTGCTGGGGGTGAATATGACCATTACGAGGAGCTACCGGATTTGGGCAAGGTTTGGCTGCGAGAGAGAGGAACGATGAACATTAAGTCGTCAAACAGTGCCGATAATGGCAGAATACATACGGATGTGCGCAGAGGAAACCAGACCATTAACTTTCTCCATCAAAATGATGTGTGTTTGAATGTATCATGCCTAAAATCTCTCTGTGGACATCAAATTTGAATACAGAATGCACAAGACAGACATAAAAAGGGTTTATTTTTACTGGGTGACAGGCCATTCATCACTGAGAGGCTGTTTTTAACACTAAACCCTTACTGTCAGTAAAACTCAGGAGCACACCTGCTGGAGCTGATGAAGTTACTGTGAAGAATATTGAAAGTGTTAATCTCTCAGATGTCATTAACGTTCCAATAGCTTGAAGGCCGTACCTGTGCTGGAGTACTTTATCTTCCAGCCTCTGTTTTTTCCGGAGCCGTCTGAGTGGAACGTCACATGCACTTTGTGAGTGCCAGTTTCGATTCTGGCTGGTGGCTTGGTTCCACAGAATGGGCCGTACTCCCTTGAACCTGCAGTGATCTTGAGATCAGAGACAAAGCAAGAGATATTGTAGTTGGTACACTCTAAGATCAGTACATCTTTGGCACCATTCTTAACCGGACCCTCCTTAACTGTTTTACATGTGACCTACAGTACTGTGCAAAAGTCAGAGACCACCCTTCGGTTTATTTAATTTCCAGGAAAAAAGGCCATTAAGTACAAGATATTCATTTTCATTCATTGTCAGAAAAAAGCAGAAAACATATATTTAGTAGAAAATTACACATAAGCCTCGACAAACAAACAAATAATATCAACATTTTCAGTATTATTGTGTCCACCCTTTAGCTATATTACAACTTCTGTTCTTTTCAGGATATTTGCTTCCAGTTTTTAAAAAAAAATCTGCATGGATATTTTTCCACACCTCCAAAGTTCAGTCTTGGAAGTTGGTTGAATTTTCTGCTTTTTACAATTCAAGTGATCCCAAACACATCCACTGATATTGAGGTCTGGACTCTGGGGTGATCAGTCCATTGTTCTGAGAACGCCAGCTACTTCTTTGTTTGATTTAAAAATTTTCTTCTTTTTTGTCTATTTCCTTTTCTCAGTAATGGTTTCTTGTCAGCTACACATCCTTTCAGACTCATAGCACTGAGCTGCGTTCTCACAATGGAAGGATGGACAGAAACACCTGTGGATTTTTAAAATCTGAAGCAGCTTGATTTTCTCCACCCTCTTAAAGATAAAACCTTTAAGTTCTGTTTATCTGATGGGGACAGTTTTAATGGCCTACCCGGTCTTGCACGATTATTAGGAGCCCCATTTTATCTAAATCTTTTACTTTTTTTTTTAATCCCATTTTGGAAACTCCTCTCTTAAATTCCTTTCACTTCTTTAGGTAAGTGTTTTATCTTATTTAATTTAATCTCCTCCTTATTTCATATAATATCTCCTGAAAAATGAAATACTAGTACTTAATGGCCATTTTTAAAAATGAAAGGTGGAATCTGACATTTGCACAGTACTGTACATATGAGGTTCCACTATACAGTGCCTTGCAGCTCTTAGTAATGACTAAGGGGCTAAGCACTGAAATGTCAACATGAGTATATAAGGTAGTGATGGGCAATATGACAATGTTTTATCGTATTGTAATAATTATATCACAACGTACCACCGTATGCTTTATGAGTATATTGTGGAGATCGTCGCTGCTTAAGGAATACTAAACAACGTTTAAAGAATCATTATCATTAGCCCTGTTTAACTGTATTTGGTGCAGTGCAGGCTGAATAAAAAACATTGTACTCAGTGTACATTGTACACTCTTAAAATGATGGTGCTTCAAGAGTTCTTTAGTAAAGAAAATGGTTCTATATAAAAATATGAATACTCAAAGAAGCCTTTGCATGATTAAAGGGTTCTTTGCATCCTGAAAGTGTTCTTCAGATTGATGGGGAATGTGCTGTATATGGTTCTAAACAGAATCTGAAGGGTTCTATATAGTACCAAAAAGGGTTCTTCTATTATTACTAGCTTGACATTGTAACAATAGAAGAACACTTTTTGGTGCTATGTAGAACTGTTCTTTATAGAACCATATACAGCACATTCTCCTTCAATCAGAAGAACTCTTTCATGATGCAAAGAACCCTTTAATCATGCACTGGCTTCTTTGAGTGTTCATAAGTCTTTATAGAACCATTGTCTTTACTAAAGAACCCTTGAATAACCATCATTTTAAGTGTGTAGCTTTTGATAGTGGTTTGAAACGTATCACTATTCTGCCTGTTCCAACTTATGATACACGTCTTCAAATGAAACGTCTTTGAGTATCTTAGTATTATATTTTTGCTGTATCACCCACCGCTAGTACAAGGTCAAGTACTATTTAAAGCTTTGTACACTCTTCAAAATAAAAGTGCCAAAAGGGTTCTTTGGAGCGATGCTATAAAAACACCACCTTTGGTTCCCTAAAGAACTTGTCAGTGAAAGATTCTTTAAAGAACCCTTTTGTACACGAGATTTACAAGTGTGAAGAACGTTTATTTTGTAAAGGGTAACAATTAAAATTTCCTAGAATCAGACATGCAAGCCAAGAACCATTTAGAAACCTTTGTTTTTAAGTGTAGAATGTGACTATTTGGCTTGTCAATAAATGCAGGGGTGAGCTTGTCAACACGTCCTTTGGGAGTAACAAAGACAGGCAGGTTTAGGAGGCATGAGAGAGCATATATTGCTTATTCATGGGCCGTCAGCTCTTTGATTGGTGGGTTTTAGGGAGTACTCTAATGGGCAGTGTCATGCCTGATGAACATGAGTTTGTTTTAAAGAGGAGAGGGAGGAGGAAGCCTGGCTGAAGGGCAATGTTATAAACAAGGTTGAGATGTAATGGAACACAAGTGTTCAGAATACAGTTACTGTTTAAATTTTAGGAGAACATTTTAAGACTTACCTGCTAAATTTTAAATATACATACTATCTTTAAAAGAAACATAGTCGATGCTTGTTTATTAACTAATTTTAAATCAGCACACAGTGAGTAAAGGCCTGTTCCAAAGAATAACTGAAAAACGGCTTCTTTACAAACTGCTAAAGCCTGAGTAGACTGATAAATCAATGTGTTAAGCCAGTGTTATTAAATCTCAGTGTTATTAAAGAGTTACTTTGAGGAATGATGGAACAGAACAGACTCCTCAGTAGTGGACATGTTCAGGGCAGTAGGATAATGGGAGACGATGAGAGCAAAAAATGTTGAGAACTTCACTTTTGTAACTTCATTTAAATAAGTGAATTTTCCATGAAACACCAGATAAATAAGGAACAGCGAGGAACAGTGTGAAGTCAATAAAAATTGCAACAGCAACAGCAAGTTTGTCCCATCTGCCTTATCAATATGTATTCTAAATATTGTTCTAAATATTATTCTAAATACTTTTTTATGTACTGTAATGGAATATGCTGCTAAATACATTCAGTACAGTGTATTCAGTACTGAGCCAGTGTAACACACTGTCGCTGTCGTAAGAAAAGAGAAATAGTACCTTTATAGGACAAGGAAAAAAGTTGTTAATTTTAATGTACATTAATGTAACAAAATTCTCCTCCAAGTAAATGTACTATTTCTGTTCAACCAACTGTCAATATAAAGGAAAACTAGTGTTTTCAAATAATGAAAAAATAAAAATCAGACAAAAATAGAGGTTTGATATGACAGCAATGATATGCGTCTCATTCTCTAAAAAACAAAGGAGTGGGTGAGGAGCCACAACAGACTACAGCCAGAACTATACAATCAATCTCGTGATAATTAATTTGTCAGAGCACATTTAATAGGTAGTTAAATCACTCTCAATGAGAATGCCAGGAATTCGTCATACCATACATCAACAGAATGTGACTCATCAAATGTGTCACTTAATGATGTTTGGTTAGCACGTTCAGAGCAATGCTCAATCACAATAAACACTTGCTCAATAGCTCTGTTTACAGCTCGAATGTTTGAACTAGCTCTATCAGGTGTGCTAAAATGATGTGCATTAATTTCTGCCTTTTGCAGAGGCCAGACAGAACCGTGATTATGCACTTGTTTATGCAGCTGCTGTCTAAAGAGCCTTGATGTAGATTATGATGTTTAATATCAGGATATAAATAGCAGACATTACACATACTGTTAAGTACTGCCAGGATCTCACAGTATTTAACAGTAAAAACTGTGTTCATCATTTTATTGTGAAATAAACTCATTTTAAGATATTTCCCATAAGAACACAGCAAATTACTACGAGGTTTAGGTTGAACTATCCTGCGCAGCGTTATGGGATACGACAGCTAAAAATTACAAATATTTCAATAAAAAACATTTTTAGTGTTCTTACTTAGACTTTTAATATTTATGTGGATTTTTTTTGTAAATTACAGGAAGTTACAGGCTACTGAGTATACAGTTGCTGTTTTACTGTTATTTATTCTTAAAATGGTTCAGCAAATTATTGCAAAAGCAATGCATCTAGGAGCCAGTCATTTACTGCAATTTTACAGTTTATCTACTAATGCTACTTATGACTCCCATATTCATGGGCTGCCCACTGGATGGTTTTAAGGTGATAGTGGAAGGGAGGGGAGGGAGTGGAACTCATTGCTATCCTGGACGATACATCACATCCCCTCCATGACCTACTGGTCAGACAGCGGAGCACCTTCACCAACAGACTTATTCAGCTCCACTGTAGTAAGGAACAATACAGGAGATCGTTTGTACCAACGGCGATCGCACTGTACAACATCTCATCAGTGTGCCGGGACATTACTGTATACTGAGCCATATACCTTTCTATTCATTACTATGCACTGCCATTTTGTTTATACATCTACCTATTGCTCTCAAAGAGCTACCTATGTATATCACATTGTATATGCATCAAAAAATATTGCATATTGCACTGCCACTTGATTATACACCCAGGCATGTTGCACAACTATTAACATATGTTATCGTTTACTGTGTTTAGTCACTTCCCCTTCACTCATACGCAAGAAAATCAGTTTCTTTCCAAAGTAACAGGAAAGCATTGCATTAGTATGAAAGACATATTTCACACAATATCCACATTAGTGAATTTTGAATTTTAATATGATTATGTTTCAGTTGCTTTCTTTATTGCACTGTAAATAACCTGTCGACTCTAAATAATGCTTTGATTGAATTAAAAACAATATTCTCTACCAGACATTTAAAGACATCTGCTAAATTCCACATGATGTCTCTCAGGACATTCAGTCATTGCTGTAGATGACTGACTGTTTTTGTCAATGTTAAGTGCAGCTTGCAGAAGTCTGAGTGGTTTGATGTGAAATGCTCCATTTTAGAAAAACATACCAAGCCAGAATTGTTCACAGTGCTGGTGATAGGAACCAGACGTCTAAATATATAAGACGTATAATGACTGTAAAACTCCCTCACAGAAAGTTACTACATGAAATGCTTATGACTGTTTTTGAAACATTGTTTTACAATCATTCTGAGGTAAGACTTGGGCCTGATGATAATACATCAAAACATATTTAAATAAACCTGGCCTATGTTCTTTGCTGTATCTGAATTTGACTAACAGTATGAGGATAACCCATGATATTATTTGCACTTTTTAGGTCTGATGTATCAAGATCAAAATCTGGAAACAAAATATTCAAATTCATTATCAACTTGTTCTTATAGAAGCGAGATGACACCAGTTCAGCCCTGTCATTTCTGTTGTAGAGAAATAACAGAGCAGGTAAAGTACATTTACATGGAGGTGCAGGTTCTTTGCTTGGTATTTCAGGCTCGATTTCCTCTTTCCTTTCCTGGTCTGATTGCTGTCAATACCTGCTGGCAGTTAAAATACCAACCTTCAGGATGTCATAAGGGCAGGAGACCTCGGGATGAGTCTCTACGTCAAACGGCTCCTCAAATTCCAGGCTCACTTGGAAGCCCTCCAGCAGGCTGATGGTGTAGTCACACTGACTCATTCTAGGGTACGCAGCTGGATACTCAGGGCTGGTCAACTCTCCTGACCTCTCCACCAGCACCTGACCACTGCACTGCACTGCAGAAATGAGAAAAGAAACTTACTTTACAACTATAATAATCGAAATTATTATTATTATTATTATTCTTACAAAATTTAGTCACAAAGCTTCAAAGTGCTTTACACATTCTTGTACATAAAGGGTTCTAAATGGTTATTGGCTTAGAGGTTTGATTCTAGGAAATACCTTGGTAACACTTTCTATGAATACTATGTCTGTAAGAATTTATGAACATGTTCATGTCATAAGGCATTTATAAGGTACTATAAATAAGGCTCTAAATATTTATAAAACACATTACACTTTATAGCCATGTTTGTTATGCATTAAAAACTGTGGACATAATGCTTTATAAGTGGTGTGTTATAAGGAGTGTAACAAATGTTATTAAAACTCTGTTATAAGAGCTGTTTATGTGTTGTTAGCATTATGGTAATCGCTGCCTTCTCCACTATAACACACTCAAAAGGGGTCTTGTGGGAGGGGTCTGGTGGGTAGTTGGGTTGCTGTGATGTAAAAGTAAAAAAGTTTTAGTTTTAGTTCTAGTTTACTTTGGAACTTTGGAAATGCTGTGGCTTTAATGAAGTTCTTATATCCATCAATAACAGTTTGTACCCATAATGACAAGTATAGAAACTCTATGCATATTATACCAAGCACAGACCAAAAAAAAAGGTTTTAGCACCAAAATACGTTCTTACATTTTTACAATGTCAAGCTTATAACAATAGAAGAACCCTTTTTAGTGCTATATAGAACTCATTTTAAAAAGGTTCAGATGATATAGAGCCATCTACAGCACATTCTCCATCAGTCTGAAGAACCATTTCACCATGCAAATAACCATTTAATCATGCAAAGTGTTCTTACGGTGTTCATGGTTTAATATAGGACCATTTTCTTTACAAAAGAACCCTTGAAGAACCATCTTTTTTAAGTGTGTAGGCTAGTTGTGTCACAGCTTTGGAGTCAAAGAACGAATTCCACCGCTTGTTCGGAATACCCAATACATATCCGAAATACATAATCACACATCAGTGGACACCAGTGGGTATTTCTTCTTCATTGTCTTTAATTAGACTGTAGATAAATGACCACAGCATAAGCTTTAATCAATAGAATGATGAGCAGTTTCTGTTTTCACAAACTGTTACAATTCACTGTCAAGTGCACCAGCTGTAACAGATGTAAAAAATGGAGAGGCTTTACAGAAGGTGGCAAAGGTTAGGTGATTTATATAATTAGGGCGATTTAGACGCAGGTCATCGTCCCAGTTCCTCTGCGTGATATGATGTCACTTTCTTCCCTATTGGCAAAGAATAATAATTAAGAGGCACGTCTGGGCTGGTAATTGTGATTAATTACCCACCATCACTGCTCTATTAAAGCAGCAAACAGGTATCAATTTTCCGTGGCTCTCCGTGCTGCTGTTCCCCCAGGAACCAATGGTAATTAACCCAGTCTCACTCAGACTGACAGAGATCAACAGCTTCATACAGTGGCAGCGCTGCCGCAGAGCCACAAACGCTAACAATCACAGTTCTGCCCTGCACAGCCTTCACTGCTCGTTTATGGTGCTTTTACACTGCGTCACCTTAAAGATATAGATAAGCATGTCACACTATTCTCCGGTCTGAGCATGGACACAAGGCACAAAAGGTTCCATTGTAGTGATGCAGTAGAACCACGAAGAAGAACCGAAAGAACTTCTCAAAGGATGGCTCTGTTCAAGAGATGTGAGAGTATGAAGAACATCTTCTAGTTCATAATAGTAAGAAAAACCTTTAATTGTTACACTGAAAAAGACTGAAGTCTTTTGAATTGATGTTTCTCAATTCATGTCTCATTTACAAAATGGTTCACTTTTAAAAAAGATGGTTCTCTAAGGGTTTTTTACACTGGTTCTGTATAGAACCATGAACACTCAAGGAACCATTTGCAAGCTTAAATACAATCTTTAAAAATATGGTTCTTCGAGGGTTCTTTAGTAAGGAAAACAGTTCTATAAAAAACCATAAACACTCGCTTTGCGTGATTAAAGGGTTCTTTTCATCATGAAAGGGTATTTCAAATTGATGGAGAATGTGCTTGCAATAGTTCTATGTAGAACCTTTTTGAAAAGGGTTCTATAGAGCTCCAAAAAGGGTTCTTGTATTGTTTCAAGCTTGACTTCGTAACCATAGAAGAACTTTTTTGGGTGCTATATAGAACCATTTTCAAAAAAGTTCTATATAGAACCGTCTATAGCACATTCTTATGATGAAAAGAACCCTGTAATCATGCAAAGGAGTGTTCGTGGTTCTTTATAGAGCCATGTTCTTTACTAAAGAACCATTGAAGAACCATTTTTTTAAGAATTGCATGGTGAAATGGTTCTTCAGATTGATGGAGAATGTGTTGTATATGGTTCTATATGAAAATGGTTCTATAGTTATTGTTACAATGTCAAGCTTGTAAGGAACGAATAAACACAACTAATATATACTTAATGTCTTTTAATAAATGTTGAAATACATTTTCTATGCCTACAAATGCTTTTCTCTTCTAAAATAACAATGTATGTGGCACTGAAGTTAATTTAAGCAATTATTAAGACAAAAAGTCTATACCTGCACTCTCAAAAGTGCTGTGCTACATAACACATTTACTTGTGTTACCCGTTTTAATAGATTTTGTGTCAGACTGTTTTTTGTGTTTAAAGTAACACAAAATGTTTTATCTGTAACTGGGCACAGAATTATTTTAGCATATTTTGTTTTGATATACTTTTGTTTAATATACTTTAGTTTAAGTGTACTGTGTTAAGGAGTACATTAATTTAAGTGTATTTCCTTTACAGCACACTAAAGTATAACTTTAAATGTGTTAGATTAAAATGTACTTTTCAAAAAATACAAAAAAAAAATGTTTGATGTATTTTACATCTAAAATATACTTTTAGTATTGTCTCTTTACTTCAGTTTACTACTAATGTACTTAAGTAAGCTTCCTTTTTTACCAGGGTGGTTTAGCATTTAAAGATAATCACATGGGATTGTCACTATTCCCCTGTGGAATCATAATCGGCAGCTGTTGAGAGGGTTAATGATGTCTGGTTGCATCTATGATGCAAAAGGCAACAACAGTGTGCAGTGGCTTGCAAAAGGAACAAAGTTCAAAATAATCAATAATGCTATGGAAACTGTGCACAAGTCTAAAGAATTAACAACCGCACCAGCAACGAAGCCATTCTAAGACAGATACTTAAAGATAACGAGTCAAAGACATTCTTTTTTTCCAAGTGTTTATTGCTATAACACCTGAACGTTATGAGCTCTACAAATATAGTACTGTGGTCTGTGTATTGCTACAAATAACATTCAAAAATAATTACATCTCCAGTCTTTTCAAAGTTCATTTCTTCATTACAGTTACATAATATGTCATTTCTGATAACTTCCAGTATTAATAATGACAATAAAAGTCCACACACACTGTGGTCAGTGACCGAACGAACCGAAGGCCGCAGCTTTCATGCTTTCGTGATGGCAGCCTTACCAGTGCAGTCCCTCTTGTTGGCATGGAGCTGGTAGCCCAGTTTGCAAGTGCAGTAATAGCCCCCCACGTAATTGTGGCAGTAATGGTCACACACAGGCTCTCCATCCACAGTAATCAGGCACTCGTTGATGTCTGTGCACAGTGAGAAAGCGAGCAATTAGCAATAGAGCTTCCACTGGCAAAGTTTCACTCTCACACGCTATGCACTCTCAAACGAGTGCGCTTATAAGAATAATGGGGTACTGGAGTTACAAATAAGATTGAATACACATCAGTTGTGCTTTATTTGCTATGTTAGAGTGCTCTTCATTTGTGGAAATCAACATGTAATATAACAAATTTATAGCTTAAATTTAAGGCCTTTGCTCAATTAACTGCCCAAATGTATTTCACACACACTTAAAAATGGTCCTATATACAACCATGAACACTCAAAGAACACTTTGCATTATCAAACAGTTCTTTGCATCATGAAAGGGTTTCTCAGATTGATGGAGAATATGCTGTAGATGCCTTTTTTTACAAAGGGTTCTATATAGCACCAAAAGGGTTTTTTCTACTGTTACAGGCTTGACCTTTTGGGTGCTATATAGAACCCTTTTCAAAAAGATTTTATATAGAACCATTTTTCATATAGAACCCCTGAAGAACCATCTTTTTTAAATGTGTAGCTAAACCACTAGCAGTCCCTTTCATTATGATAATATTTTTTAATTAAATAAAAATGGTCCAGAATGACTCAGCATAAAACCTCATTACATTGACAAACACTACTGCGCGAAGTCGAAATGGCCATTAAGTGTGAGTTTTTCATTTTTCAGTGTTGGGGGAAAAAGCAGACAGCATATATTTAACAGAAAATTACAGAAAAAGGCTCCACAACCAAATACTATTTTTCTAGCATTTAGTGTGTCCACTCTTTTCCTTTATTATAGCTTTCATTCTTTTCAGGAGATTTATTTTCAGTTTTTGAAAAAATCTGCATGGATATTTTTCCATACCTCCAAAGTTCTTAAAAGTTGGTTGCATTTTCTGCTTCTCACAATCCAAGTAATCTCGAACATATTCAGTGATGTTGAGGTGTGGACTCTGGGGTGGTCAGCTCATTATTATGAGAACTCCAGAAGCTTCTTTGTCTAATTTGCAAATTTTCTAATTTTTGTCTATTTTCTTTTCTCAGTGAGAGCTTCTTGTCAGCTACACATCCTTTCAGGGCTTCTTGTCAGCTACACATCCTTGTCAGCGTCACATCCCTTTCCCATAGTGTTGTGTTGTCTTCTCACAGTGGATTGACAGAAACACCTGTGGATTTTTTCAAGCTTGATGCTGTCCTCTCTCTCAGAGATGAAAGCTTTAAGTGCTGTTTATCTGAGGGTGACAGAGGGTTTTGGTGGTGAGGAGTCCTATTTTCTTTCCTTTTTCTTTTCTTTTTTTTTTTTTAACTCCAGTTTTAGTAACGTGTTTTTCCACCTTTCTTTGGCTTTCTCTTTCCTTGTGCAAGTGGATTATAGTCTAATCTATATAAGACTATAGTCCACTATAGTCGTATATCTAATCTACTCAGAAACACCTCCTGAAAACAAATATCTTGTTCTCAATGCCCGTTTTGACCGTTAATGAAATGCATGTAGGGTGGTCTCTGACTTTTACATAGTACTGCACAATAACGTTAAGAATGTTTATCTCCTATAAGGTTAACTTTTCAGAGATACAAAATGTTACAATAGCGATGAGTTAAAAAAGCACAGTAGTAATATACTGAGATGTTAGGTTAAATTGGGTACATTTTATAGATCAACAACAGTATGCTAATATAGACAACACTACGTAAGGCCTTCATAATGCACCTCACCTTCTGTGGCATAAAAAGCCTGGAAGCCTGTGTATCGTCCCTCATTGGAGTAATCTGATCTAAAGATGACAGACATTGCGTTTGTGGAGGAGTAGAGGACGGTGTTCTTTGGGGAATCTTCATAATTTTTCTTATCCTCACCACAGAATCGAACAGTGCCATTGCCCTCTGAGAATACCTGTAAACATCACCAGGAGAAAGACAGGCAAGTGATGACCCATCACACATGGAGCAAACAGAGGGCAGATTATGGCTATATGTGGCTGATATGAGCTATACAGAAAACATTAAAACTAAAATGTATTTGTTCACTTTAATGACATAAAAAATCTTGATTATATGCAGGAGTTTGGCTCCACTGCAGCCATACAATTAGATTGCTCATTAAAGGGATAATTAGGACTTTCATTTGCACTGTCAGGATGATGTCTAAAGTGCTGCACCAGCTGGATTGGTTTCACCAGAGGAGGTTGTGTAATACAGTCTATCAGAGATTTAACAGGCTGATTCATACAGGATAAAGTATCTGTGTCAAGTAGCAAAGATAACGTAGATTGACACCAGTGTTAAGCATCAGGCTCCACACTCAATAACAATAACAACATGGCACGTGTCTGTGTCTATTGGCAGGTTTAGTTCTTACATTTACATAAGGCCCATTTGAAAAGCTACTATCACTGAGGGAGATCTAGGTTCAGATAATTCACTCCAGCATTATTACTTATCGTAAAAACTGTGGACTCTAAAATCACAGATCTTGTGCACAATCATTTCAATTACAGTCTTCCTCTTGTAATGCTAATCCAGCTTGAATACAGCTTAATTAAAGTTATTCCAAAACATATTACAGTGCAAACTGTACAGGCAGCATCTGCAGTGATAATGCCTTACTCCCAAATGTCAAATTGGCAATTCCTGGCACAGGGATCAAAAGAGATTGATATTGGAGGAAACCCTGCTTGTAGGCTAGATCCCACTTATCATATCCATTTTCAATTATGTGTGCAGCAGCACTGGAGGCATGCTCAGGCCTTACCTCTAAGTAGTCATATTCACAGTGAAGAGAGGGTTCCAGACTGAAATGGGTGAAGTAGAGCCGAAGTCTGTGTCCCACTGGCCCTGTGATGTTCCACACAATGTGTTGCTTATTAGGATACACATTTGGAAAGTTGGGTGAAGTGAAGCTCCCGAAGAGTCCTGTTAATTTCACACTCAATGCCAGTGGGAGCAGACTGAGCACAGCCACAGACACGCTGTAACCAGACATGAAAGACACACACATTTAAGAGAACTGAATATTGCTTCATTATCTATCTTTAGGTACTGAACAGATGAACTCCTTAAACACCAAAGGTTTGTATGTGGGTTCATACTTAAAGGAGTACCTCATCTTAAAAGGTAATGTTATATACCATGTGTGAACTTCTATGGCACAAAGGAAAACTGTGGCTTAACACCAGTTCTCCATTTCTCTAGCTTAATGGAGTTCCTTATCTTTACTGCCAATGTCAAACCACGTTTCCATTATTTAAAATAATAATATTACTATTAATGAACAAAGGCTAGTACACTGTAAACATTATTTAAGCTTTAAAAATGAAGAAACCAGGTTACCTTAATACTTCGAGGTGGCTGAAGTTCTAATAGTAAGTCAACAGTATAATCTGTGTCTTTTTACAGCTGTATTACAGCGGTATTATTACTGTAAAAGTACTGTCAAATTTAAGGGTCAAAACCTGTTTTTTTAAAGGTTGAATGCATGTAAATAAACCAAACATATACTGTATTTTAACTCTGCTGTTGTTAATTTACAGAAATAGAATTTTTGAATCGATCAGTTGATCACCTTTATTTCAGACATTTGAATTTATTTTAATTGTTGTTATTGTTTTTATTTTGGTAAAATACTTATGTCAGAATAACTGGTTGAACCAGTAAAACATATTTTACTATTAATTAAGGGGTTTTGTCTGGCACATTTGCTTCTGTTTACCATTTTATTTTCCACATTTTTACAGTGCTCATTTATTCCTGCTGTCTTTCAGACATTGATAGCTATGTTAGCATATTTGGCAAAATTGTCCTTTAAATGAATGGACTAAAGAATCAAATTTTCCCAATTTTCCCCTCATCCCAAACTTAGTTGATCGGCCAAGAGGTTTGGTGTTTGAAATTTGCTTCTTTAGTTTTGAATTGGAGCTATGAGGCTAATATAATAAAAATCTGTCACCAGCAATTATTTTGGGTTGCATAGATTTTCATTACTTGTTGGCTACTTTATCCTTATAGTGCAAAGGTAGAGTAGCAAACTTTCTTTTTAAGGGGTTAAAATCCAAAAACAAACATCAAATTGAACCAAAACAATCCCTGATTTTTTTACTTCACCTTAAAACCAGCTGCTTACCTTTTCATCATTCTTAGCCGTCGGTCATTCCCTGAAGACAACAAAACTTTTCTTCACATTCAGTGGAGCTAAACTGATGACCTTAAAGTGCACTCTAGGTTACTGAACCACCAATCCAGTAACTAAGACTGTGTAAATACGACCCATAGTCATGGACTTTCCCAGTTGTTGACAGTATCAGAGCTGTTGTTAGCCTAATTCAGGACTTTTCAGTAAAAGGACAGATTAATGGTGTCAGCATCTGCAATTCGTAATTCGCTCTGTGACCATTTCCCTGGCTCACAATTCAATATAACAATGACATATTATTTACACAAAAAGAAGATCTGGCTTTCTGGTAAGCTGTTTATTGATTATAAACAGCTTTTACGCTAAATGAGACATTGCCAGTAAGTACTCATGTGTAGCCTGTATTTACTTCTTTAAGCCAACCTCCCTCTTTTTAGTCAATGATTGATTTCCCTGTTTTAGACAAACTGAAAGATAAAAATTACTGACAGGTTCTGATTTGCTTTCTTAGATTTGAAGGACCCATATCCTACATTTTTCTTATATTGCGTTTTTTCCCTGAGATCCATTTATGACACTTGTGTGGGACTGTGTGCCATAAACAGTTGTACTGACCACTTTCCAAGCTCTCTTTATCTCTTACAAATAAACAGGCTGTTGTCAATTTACCTAGAAGTCTGATAAACAGTGATATGTAAAAGTTTAACACCCCTGGTCAAATCATGGTAAACATGTTTTGTTCATTTTCTACGTGAACACAGAGAACACACCTCTGCACATTATAATGCACAATTACAGATTATTTGCTAAATTTAAAGGTGCAGTGTGTAAGATTAAGTGGCATCTAGCGGTGGCGATGCAGAAAGCAATCAACTAAATACCCATTTCCTTTCCGAGCGTGTAGTTGAACCTAAAGTGGACGTCAGGTTTTGCTTCTTTGCTTCTTCAAAATTTGGGTTCTCAAACCTCTCACAGCACAAAGTGGTTAGCCAGCACTGATTCTTCTTCTTTCTAAGTAAATGAAAGGCGCTCTCTAGAGGCAGTGTTCTGTTTGTCCATTTTGGGCTACTGTGGCGCAGTCACTATGGCAGCCTCTGTTGAAAGAGGACTCGCTCCCTATGTAGATATGAAAAGCTCATTCTAAGCTAAAGAAAACACAACAACTCATAGTTACAGGTAATTATACATTAATGAAAACATGGCTTTGTATACTATATTCCATTTCTCTAAATAGGTCCCCTAAATCTTACACACTGTACCTTTAACATATTGGTAAAACATAATAAAAGTAATAAAGTGTAGCATGTACAAGTGTTATGGCACATTTAATATATCTTTTATTTTTTTCCAAGTACGTTAAATTCAGCAAATAACTAGAAACTATACTCTAAAAAGTTCAGAATAATGTCATATATAAGTTTGTTTTCTGTAGTGAATGTGTTAACTTGACCACGGTGCACAAACTTTTGCATAAGTCTGCATATAAATGAGCTCTGTTTCTGATTGGCTGCTCTGTATAATGCCTCATTCAAAACACAGTCTGAATTGAAGTACTCAGGGGCGGGGCTAAACTGCCGTAGGTTGAATAGACTGGAGAACGAATGGTACTTTGAGAAAACCTTAACCTTGTCTACATATATAAAACTCTTTTATGTTAAAAGATCAAATATAACTATTTCCAAGATGTGGGCCCTTTAATGAATGTTCTATTAAGCTCATATGCATATGACTGCTATCAGTGAACACCTACTGATTCATACTGAAGATATGGCATAAAAAATAAAACAAGAGCACTGAAATGTTCCTTTGCAACCATTCCACCCTTGCCATTATAGCTTGTGAAGCATATAATAGCGCTTAAAGAAGCTTGAATCACATTATTCTTTCTCTTGATCACTTCTGATGAAGTCGTGGTAATTATAGCACAGTGAAACTTCAATGCAACAAGAAAATGCTCACGTCTCATTTTTCTTTCTCGTAGTTAGCAGGTAAACGCGAGATCCGAGCAGAGGCGTATCTCCGACTGGCAATCAGGCTATGGGTCTGTGATGAATGGGACCAGATTGCATCATTGTAAAAACAAAAGGTAAAGTTGAAAGCCTGTTGCTGTACCATGTGCCAATTATCCTGAGAGCGGAATTAATTCTATGCTTTTGTAATGCCGGAGCCTCATTCATTTTTACCTTTTGGCATGGAATGAAATGGCTATTTTAGCTGTTATTTAAAAAAGGTAGAAGCTTTCAAAGAGAGATAGAGTGAGAGATAGGGTGAGAGAGTGAGTGAATGCGACAAATGTTCCACAAGCAAGCTTATAATAGGGCCCTCATTTCCGATACACTACACTGGTAATGGTTGATGTACGTGGAGATTATAATAATTATCCACATAAATGACAATGGTAATTTCCAGTTGCAAATGCCCTTGCTGATTGTGAGGGCCTGCTATAATGTGGTGACCCCTCTCATCTCGTCTGCTTGAGGGATCACAGGTTGTTGGGCCACAGCTGAAGTGATTTCTAAAGTGGAGCCAATGGTTTGTCCTAAGTCACTACTGAACAACCTCCTACATTACCTCACAGGGCCTCTTCCATTAACTCTACACAGACAAGCTGTAAAGTCTGACTGCAGTGGGAATCAAAAACATGCCTTTAAGGAGACTCCAGAAATCTTATATCTGACATGCTAGTCCTTTAGTTACAGTGATGTTCAGGACCAAGCCATCAGTGTAGCAAGATTTGGTCAGAATGAGTCTTTAACCTAGCTCTTTTACAGGGATACATCAGCATTATTCAACCCAATCTCTATCTACTGTATCTGTAGTGGACAGTCAGTTACCACAGACAGTAATGTTTCACTGTACTTTGAAAAGAACAGAAAACTGAAACCCAGAATATACTTCCCAGACCCTGTTTCAATTCTTTTTTTAACTTGCACTCACCCACTTTGACTCACTATGTACGTTCCCTCTATGCATCCTGGCAGAAGGGCAGGAGGGGTCAGTGAGAAGCAGATTATTCAAATGGTTAGCAGGTTATTCAAGCAGGTTAGCCTCAGTGAGCCAATCAGCTAGCCATGCAAACTTGGAGTAGAACCGTGGTGTAGTGCCCTTTCTTTTTGTTCTTGTTAGCCATTTAGTCCTTAGCGTGCCAGATAGCAGAGGAAAGTAATGAAGCTGTTCCAGCAGTCATCTACAACGGATGGAGTAGTTTGTAACCTAAATCCCAGCAAAAGGAAAAATGCATCAGGCTGCAATGATTTCTGGGCTAGTTCTGTTACTGAAGTCGACACTAGTGTTTGCTAGATCCCTTGCCCTTCTGAGAGCTCATCTAACATCCTTCACTTGAATTAATAAGGTAATGGAACAGCCCTTAAGATGGTGCTGCGGATTCCTCCCCAACCCCGCCCCCACCCCCTGAAGTAAAATGACAAGGCTAAGTGGATGAGGACTTGTTAAAACCGGTGCTAAAATGGGTGCTCTACTAAACATTTGAAATAAGTGACTACATAATTTAAATTTGAAACCACAACCTTTGCACTCTAACAATACACATTTTAAGATGAGATATACATGAGAGAATGCCTTTCCAAACATGTTCTTTTGAGGTTTTATCCAACTTTCCAACACTGTAAATAAGTAATGGTGGTTTCTTTCCCTTACACATTCACACTGAGGCAGTGATGTCTTTAGACAAAGATACTTAAGCTGTAAATCCATATAACTCATTCTCTCAGAGGTGGGATTAGTTTTCCAAAGAGAAGAACTTGTGATAATACAGTACTGTATAAAAGTCTTAAGCCTAAGCACATAAACACAAAACCATTTATCTTGAAAGTAAGTGTGTTTGTGCTTATATTGCAAATAAGCATAAATACAGTAAAAAGTGACAAGAATTTCTTGTTCTCAGAAAAGTAGTTGATATTTTGGAGCTAGTTTAAAGAACAGTTTGGACACTGCCAGCCATCGCATAGGTTAGTTAAATGGGAATTCTGCAGATTTTTCTAAATGTCTGCATAATTCAGTGGTTGAGATATGCAAAGTCATTCAGGGTAAACTTATGTGAAAAGTTTCTTTACAGTGGCGGTGATAGGAACCAGGGGTGGTGGTGTCTACAACTTAAATGTAGGCATTTTATTTACTATCCAAAATGATCAATGAGCCTACACAAGTCATCTGAGTTTATAGGTAATGTTGATGGTGGTAAAATAGAGGTATAGTAATTTTAACTTAGATATGATTTTGCTTTGCAACACTCTACATGTACTTCTCCACCAAAAATGCTGTTTAAAAATACACTTTTTGGCCAAAACCTTACCATCAAACTATCAGAAAACAATGTCAGCATCTTCAGGCATATTCAAACTCTGAATGAGTTTTTTTACAACCCCATTTCCAAAAAAGTTGGGACGCTGTGCAAAATGTAAATAAAAACAAAAATGCAATGATGTGCAAATCATTTAACCCCTATATTTAATTGAAAATAGCACAAAGACAACATATCGAATGTTGAAACTGAGAAGTTTTATTGTTTTTTTATTGTAATACTAAAAACACCTGGTGGTTGATTGGCAACAGGTCAGTAACATGATTCGGGAAAAAAGGGCATCCCAGAGAATCTTTCAGAAGTAAACATGAAGAGGGCATCACCACTCTGTGAAAGACAAAAAGTAGTGCAACAATTCAAGAATAAATATTCTCAAGATAAATAGCAAAGAACTTTTGCTTTTCATCATCTAAGGTACATAATAACATTAAAAGATTCAGAGAATCTGGAGAAATCTCTGTATGTGAGGGACATGGCCGAAAAACAGTATTTGCTGGCCTCAGGTGGCGCTGCATTAAAAACAGACACAATTCTGTAGTGGAAATCACTGCATGAGCTCAGGAACACTTCTGAAAACCACTGTCTGTGAACACAGTTCATCACTGCATCCACAAATGCAAGTTAAAACACTAAAACGCAAAGAAGAAACCACATATAAACCGGACCCAGAAATGCTGCCACCTTCTCTGGGCCCGAGCTCATTTAAGTAGAAAAGTGTCCTGTGGTCTAACGAATCAACATTTCAGTTTCTTTTTGGAAATCATGGACACAGTGTCCTCTGGGCTAAAGACCACTCAGCTTGTTATCAGTGCATAGTTCAAAAGGCAGTATTCATGATTGTATGGGGGTGCATTAGTGCA